GGCTGAGGTAGCAGAATCGCTTGAACCTGGGAGGCAGAGGTTGCAGTGAGCTGCGATCACACCACTGTACTCCAGCCTGGGAGACAGAGCAAGACTCCATCTCAAAAAAAAAAAAAAAAAAGCCTGCGGTCTTGAATGAAAGCATGTTAATGTATAACATGTTGCTATGTTACTTTGAAAAGTCTGTCACTCACTGCCAAATCCCATCCCACCTGATGCGCCTCCATGACCTCCTCACAGATGAGGAAACTGACATGAGGCACATCTGCCCTGGGATATTATTTCTATACAAAGATTTGAGAGAAAAAAACAAATTTCCCTTTTTATTTATCCCAAGGCTTATTTAATCCATGTCACCCCTTCTTTTTATATTAAAATGAATGCATGCATTCTGGGGAAGGATGGAGAACATCCAGTGAATTTTAAAGAGAGCTTTTGTGTTGTCTGCTTGTTACCAGGGTCTGCCCCAAAGGCCTCTAATGCAGCGGTCCCCAACCTTTTTGGCACCGGGGACTGATTTCATAGAAGACAATTTTTCCACGGGCCCAGGGGTGGGGGTGGGAGTATGGTTTCAGGACGGTTCAAGTGCATTACGTTTATTGTGCACTTTATTTATATTATTATTACATTGTTTGAAATAGTGAGCTAATTATACAACTCACCATAATGTGGAATCAGTGGGAGCCTGTGCTTTTTTTCCTGCGACTAGATGGTCCCATCTGGGGGTGATGGGAGACAGTGATAGATGATCAGGCATTAGATTCTCATAAGGAGGGTGCAACCTAGATTCCTCGCCTGTGCAGTTCACAGTAGGGTTCGCCCTCCTATGAGAATCGAATGGCGCCACTGATCTGACAGGAGGTGGAGCTCAGGCAGTAGTGTGAGCGATGGGGAGCGGCTGTAAATATACATGAAGCTTTGCTCACTTGCTCGCCATTCACCTCCTGTTGTGGACCCCAATTCCTAACAGGCCAAGGACCTGCACTGATCCGTGGCCCAGGGGTTGTGGACCCCTGCTCTAATGGGTACCCAATCCCTCTGCTGCCAGGAGGAGGATCACTGAAAGAAAGATCCTGAACACTGTCTCAGGCAACAGAGGGGCCTGCATTTGAATCCCAGGTCTGCTACTTCTTATCCACGTGTTCTTGGGCAAACCACCTCACCTCTCTGACCTTCAGTCTTTTCCTCTATAAAAACGGGGATACTCATCTATGCTTTGGAGGGTGGGTAAAGGTGTGACTCAATTCTATCTGTGAGAGGCCTGGGCCCAGAGCAAGGGACAGAGTAGATGCTCTGTGCTCTCCTGTCCCAGGAGCTGACCTCACCATTCCAGGCACAGCCAATGCCCTCCATCAGAATCACACTCAGAGGCAGTTCCACAAACAAGGATGGTTTAATAGATTTCAGCATGTTTCCACTTGACAATGTTATACGAAAATAGAATCTTTATTAAAATAGCAAGGCATAACAATCACTGCTACTCAGGAAACACTGTGTTTATTCTTTTTAATCATCAAAATCAATGACTTTGGGCAAGACCTGTGAACTCTCAGAGCCTGTTTCTCCATCTGGGGAACAGGCAGGTAGGACATTGCCAGCTGCCTGTGAGTGGGGGCCACTGGTGGGAGGAGATGGCCCTGGTGGCCCAGGTGATGAGCAACTTACTCCTCCTTCTGTCCCTGGAGAAGTTCAGGGAGATGCCAGTGTGACCTTAAGGCAATGCTAACACTTGCTTATCTCGTTTTGTAACAGAGAAGAGATAGCTGTCAGCCTTGGCCACACCAGCATGAAGCACCCCTCCCCAGCGAATTTATTTTTCTTTTTTATGGTCACTTTATATTTTTGGCAGCGAGTGATACATGTTATCCACTATTGGCAGGAATTGGGAAAAAAAAGTTCCTTTTAAAAACGAAGTTTAAAAAGCGAGTCTGTTTAAAGGAGAATATTCAGTAAACAGCAATATTAAAATATAGCAAATAATAGTAATAATAATCACAGTGGTAAGGAAACACTTCATTAGGTCAGCTTAAGAGTATTTTATTCTTGGCCGGGCGCGGTGGCTCACGCCTGTAATCTCAGCACTTTGGGAGACCCGGGGGGGGCGGATTACAAGGTCAGGAGATCGAGACCATCCTGGCTAATACGGTGAAACCCCATCTCTATTAAAAATACAAAAATTAGCCAGGCATGGTGGCGGGCACCTGTAGTCCCAGCTACTTGGGAGAATGGCACAAACCCGGGAGGCGGGGCTTGCAGTGAGCCGAGATCACTCCACTGCACTCCAGCCTGGGCGGCAGAGCAAGACTCTGTCTCAAAAAAAAAAAAAAAAAAAAGAGTATTTCATTCTTGCCACTGAGCTTAAAAAAGAAAGAAAGAAAGAGTATTCCTAACGTATGTCCAGCAATTTTGATTCTTAAGCAAGGGATGAAGAAATGCAATGGCATCCAGGTACCTTCCTAACTAGCATGTAGCAGGTAGCTAACCCACTCATCTCTCCCTCTTTTCTTTATAGCTTCTATTTTTTTTAGAAAAAAAAAAGAAAAAGAACGATTAAAACAAGGGTAGGTTTAAATCATCGTCTCCCGAGCTGCACTTCAGTATCTCAGGTAACAGCTGGAGCTGCCTGGTGGGAGCACGTCTTTTCCTTGAGGGTAATTCACTAATGACTGTGGCTCCAAGGAGGTGTGACCTTTAAAGGGGATTGGCCCTTCTTTGAAGGCAGGTGAGAATCTAGTCTCAGTGACAACCCAGCCTGATTTGGAAGGGGGGAGTCATAAGGGTTTTCCCCCAGCACACCAGGGTTGCAGCCTGCGCAAGACCTTCCATAGCTATTTCTGCCAGCTTGCTTCCTTCCCTTCCCAGCCATGATGAGGTAACTGAGGGTTGCCAGGGAAACCGGCTCTGTCCTCCCACTGGAGGCTGCCAGCTCTGATTTCCCGCAGAGTTAAGAAGGAGGCGGCAGTGGGGGTCACCCAGGCGTGAAGATGGGTTTCCCTGGGGATATCCCGCCTCCTGCCAATCACAGTGTCTCTCTGGGAATCCTGGGGGTGCCTGGAGGTTGAGGCCCAGGGAAGCCCCCAAACCCCAGTGCTCCTCTGAGAAGAGACAAGCCTCTGGGACATTCAGAGGTCTAGGGTTCTTTTCTCTCCCTCCAGCTAAAGCTCATTATGTGTCTTACGATATGTGCCCATGTTTAGGTGCCTCTGGCTCTGCCAGCTCTCTGAAGCCAGAAAGAATTGCACCATCACCAGCCCCCTTGAGCCCAAGGAACAGGAGTTGCTCACCCAGCGTTTGCTCCTGGGACAGTGAATCTGCCTGCTGAGTTCTACAGCTTATGAACTATGTGGCCCCAGGCAAGTCACCTCACCTCTCGGTTTTCTCATCTATGAAGCGGGCACAACCCTCCTTCTCTTCACAGAGATGCTGTGAGGAGTAGAAATACTGTCTATGGGGCCTATCGCAGGCATTTAAAGGGCCTCAACAGACAGGACCTTATATTAATAAAACTAGGATCATAAAAAATATTTGCAGGCCATTTTTCTCTTTAAGCTGTTTTTTATTTTAATTAATTAATTAATTTATTTATTTACTGAGACAGAGTCTTGCTCAGTTGCCCAGGCTGGAGTGTCGTGGTGCAGTCTCATCTCACTGCAACCTCCACCTCCTGGGTTCAAGCAATTCTGGTGCATCAGCCTCCTGAGTAGCTGGGATTACAGGCGCCTACCACCACACCCGGCTAATTTCTGTATGTTTAGTAGAGATGGGGTTTCACCGTGTTGGCCAGGCTGGTCTTGAACTCCCAACCTCAAGTGATCCGCCCACCTCGGCCTCCCAAAGTGCTGGGATTATAGGCGTGAGCCACCATGCCTGGTCTAGGCTTTTTGTTCTAAAGCTGGGGCAAAGGCAAATTTTCATCACTGATACATTTGTTCAAAGGGTGGTGCACTCAGGCTGGGTTGGACCAATTAGCTGGTCCCCACCACCTCTTACAATGTCACTTCTAAGAGTTAGAACAGGGTCTCACACTCAGATGCCTTCAGTGCCAGGAGGCACTGTGAACGCAGAAGCAGACCCGGTCAGAACCCTGGTGAAGCTGAGAGCACGTGTCCCACGTAAGGGAGGCAGCTGCCATTCAGGTCTGGCCAAGAGTTACCCTTGGGAATGTGAGCCCAGTGTGGTCAGATAAACCAAGTTTTCAAGAGAAGCTGGACGTTTTGAATGAACTCTCCCAAAGATGATAACAACTAAGGTATTTTCTTTAAGTGCAGTCCAAATAAAACACGTCTGCAGACTGGATCGTGATCACAATTGGGGCTTCTGCACTAGAATGCATGAAATCGGCACCTTCTTTTTTAGCTTGACGTGTCTAAGGAGTCCTGGCTGGCTCCTTCCAGCCATCTTGTCTGGGCTGTGTCTTCCTTAGCTCCCTACCTGAGTACTGACACTGAGAAAGCCCACCCCATCTGGTGCCTGTCACTCTAGAACAGAGAACTCCACTCCTCAGAGCCCAGGGTTTGGAGGGTGTCCCTGTTCTGTGCCGGGAATGCATCAGCCTTGGGGGAAGCTCTCCTGCATTTTCTCAGGTAGTGTGAGCAGTGGGGCAATCCGGCAAATGGGGCACCCAGGGAAGCAGATCTTCTAAGGGATTCCTTTGGCTTTAGCTGGTTTAAGGATGATTGGGGGACTGACTGCTGAATGACATCAATGGACAGACTGCTGGTCCTGAATGGCCTTTCTGTGGCCAGCATCTGCTTTGACTGGATAAGGCCTGGGCCATGCTAGCTGATAAGAACTAGGAAGATGACCCCTCCAGGAGTTGGGGACAAAGCAGTGAGGATTCCTAGTCCTGCCTTGTCTGAATAGCCTTTGTGAATATCACGAGGTGAGAGGAACGAGGTGAGTTGGGAGCAGACAAAGCCTGATTTTGGAAAGAAAACTTTGCAGCAGATAATCCATAGAGCTTTCCATGTCTTTCCTTTGTTCACCCTCTCTTAACTTTTCCCGCCTCTGGACCCAGTCTTCTGGGAGAAAAGCAGGGAAGTGGTAATGCTAGCACCTGCACCCAAGCCAACTGTGCACACAGAAAGCTGGGAGGCTGGGGCAGGCTGAGCAGAGGCGAGCACGTGGATCCATCTGCTCCCTGTCACGGGCGGATGCGGTAGCGGATGGCCACGTCATGTTCTGGCTGCATCAGACCGAAGCCATACCTGCTGAGGTCAAACTCAGGGATCTCCACATCTGCGTTGATCAGCTCCAGGTCCAAGTGCACCAGCACGAGGAACACAAATCTGCAGAGAAATGGCATGGAAGGTGTGAAGGAGAGGAGTAGAGCAGGGGGTTATTGGCAATAAGGCAGGGGAGGCATGGCTGCCTCCTAAGTCTGACACCAACTTTGGGAAAAAGGAGAAGAAGAGAGGCGTGAGGAAGTTGAACAAATGCATTTGCTGCTCACCACATTTGCCAGCCCCCTGTAAGGTTAGGCAGACCCATGGATGAGTTCTGGTGAATGGGCTGTGTGCAGAAGTGGCCTGTGCCACTCCTGTGTCAAAGCATTCACGAGCCAGCATGTGGCTCTCCAGCTGTCCCTCCCGCCTGGCAGCCATGCAGGCTTCACGTTGAGGTGGCAGAGCTGAAAGAGGGAAAGAGTCTGACCCGAGTCTCTGCACAGAGTGGGGAACTCCCCCAAACCCACAGCTGATACCGCGTGAGCAGAACTGCACCTCTGTTGGTAAAAGCCACTGAGATTCGGCAGGTGCAGAGCTGAGCCTATGCTGATTAAATACAGCAACTCCTCTGGATCCTCCAGTCCATGCCCTTCCCCGCCTTTCTCCAAACTCCTGGAACCCTCGCTGTCTATCTTGGCCAGGGCTGCTGCTAACCCTTAGATGTCTCTGTGAGATTAGAAACAGGCATCGCTCTCTCAAGACATTTTACTGCCATCTCCGAGAAAATTGTCCTAAATAGACCAACTTTGCAAAAACAAGTGCTCTCTACCGCCATCTTCTGAGAAAACTGTCGTACTAAACATTCGAAGCTGCCATGCCTATGATGTAATCAGTGCCCCCATAACCATGGAGCCAGCCCTACGGATGTCAACGGTTGCTGCCTCCCTGCCTCATCTTACAATGCCCATGTTCGTAAGGGTCAGGAAAATATCTCATAACTCTTTTCCCACCACTATTCCCTACCCCAACCCAGGTGCCCGATGCAGGACTGAGCACATGGCGGGGATTCTTCTGTCTCACTGAAGGAGTGAAGAAGAGGGCAGATGAGGAGAGAGGGGGGTTAACACTCTGGACAGAAGATCTGGGCTGGGCCGCTTATGGGAATGTGGCCCTCGCCAAGTTCTTTCTCACCCTGGGTCTCGGTTCTCCCATCTGGTCAAAGAGGGGAAGGCAAGTTGAGACTCTTCCAGCTCTGAGGCTGTAGGATACTAGAGGGTGAGTTTCTATGGGATGGCAGTTTTGTGCCCACCCCTGGATTTGAACCCTGGCACCTCCACTTCCTGGGAACATGGCAAATGATCTGACCTGTCTAGACTCAGTTTTAGATGGACCAGCAGGGTTGTCATGACAATTCAGTGAGATAAAAATAACAACAAATTAGCTAATTTATTGGAACACTGCGCGCTAGGCACCAGCTAAGCATTTAGTACCCGCTATCTCTTCATATCTGTCCAAAAAGTTGATGAGGTAGGAACGCCAATCAGTTCTGCTCTAACACTTGTTTTGAACAGGTGAATTTGTTCCAATAGGATTGATATATTAGGGCACCATTTGAATATAATGCAAGTTTCACATTTGTTCACGTGCAATTTTACTTGTGAGAAGCATGAAGTAAATACAAAAAACTGCACCCAGCTGAACCTGGCTGTGCAGAAATCCATAAAACATATACACGTGCACACAAAAGCATCGATCTACAGCCACGGTCATTACAGCACTTACATAGTTCTTAGCCATGAACATGTGTAAAACTTTACTACCATTTTTTACTGGGTTCTTCTCTTTTTTTATTTTTAATGTGTCACTGATGAGGTTTTTGAGTGTTGGGCCCCAGTCCCCCTTTTCCCCTAATCCCTGCAGGTTTTTCTTTTCTTCTTTTTTTTTTTTTTTTTTTTTTGAGACAGAATCTCACTCTGTCGCCCAGGCCGGAGTGCAATGGTGCGATCTTGGCTCACTGCAACCTCTGCCTCCCAGGTTCAAGAGATTTTCCTGCCTCAGCCTCCTGAGTAGCTGAGATTACAGGCATGCTCCACCACGCGCAGCCGATTTTTGTCTTTTTAGTAGAGACAGGGTTTCACCATGTTGGCCAGGCTGGTCTCAAACTCCTGGCCTCAAATGATCCACCCACCTCTGCCTCCCAAAGTGCTGGGATTACAGGCATGAATTCCTGCAGTTTTTGTTGCATGATTTCATACAGCAAGGTGATTTTTAGGAATGCATATGAGCTGTATTATGCTCATAATCAACTCCATTTTCTTGAGGAAACTGAGGCCAAAGGTCAATGTAACATGCCCATTCACTTAGCATAATGCATGCATATTAATAATAATATTAATAATTATGATAATAATTAACATTTTTCAAATGCCTGCAATGAACCAGGCAGTGGGTTAAGAACTTAGAAAGATCCAGCTCATTTATCCTGACACTCCTGGGGTGTAGTTATAATCAGAAACCTCATTTTACAGTTGAGGAAACAGAGGCGCAGAAGGTAACCCAGCTTATGATTGCACAGGGGCTGGACGGAGGACAGGGCAAATGTCATAACCTTGGTCCAATCTGTTTGTGATCTTGGTGGCCAAAGCTCCTGGGGTTCAAAGGAGATAATTTATGAGACTTTCGGCCCCACAGGCATTAAAATAACCAACTGGGAACAGTGAAGTTCGGCCAGTTCCTAACACGAAGTTCTGAACACGCAGCAGCAGCTGCAGACGGACAGCTAAGGTCAGCTGAAAGGAATGTCCAGTATTTGGAATCTGGACACCAGTCTTGGAGGGAAGAACCTGCTGCCAAATCTGATTATTTCCAAAAGAAATCCGAAATCTGGCTTTTTTACATGAGCTCTTCTGATTTTTAAAAGCACACAGTTGTGAAACCACAAATAAGAGATGGCTCACGGGCTGTCCGTGTGGAGCCTCTGCCAAACCATTCTCCTGGCTGAGCCTTCAGTCCCAGGAGAGAAGGGCCCGTATCAACCAGGGGATCAGGAGCCACCCTGGACCCGCCCTGGGCCCCACTCACTGTTTGATGCTGTTGACTGCGTAACTCTTCCCCAGGCAGTGATTGTGCCCTGCTCCCCAGGGCATGTTGTAATTCTTCAGCCGTTTCCCATCCTTGTAAAAGTCTTTCTTCTCTGATCCGTCAGGGTTCAGGAATCGGTTGTATTTAAATACCTGAAATAGGAAGAAGGTCCTCTTCTGACCCCATTCCCAGAACAAGCCCACACCAAGAAAAATGTATGAGGATGTTCCTGACAGTCATGTTTATAGGAGGGAAAAACTGGAAACCATATACAGGTCAATTGATAGGGGATTGGTTAAAATATTATGGCAAAAGGTTTGTGTGTACTGACATGGAAAGAATTTCTACAATTGGTTGTTGAGTGAAAAAAGCAAGTTTCAGAATAGTATATATTGTATGATCCTATACACACACCAGTCTTTTCATGGTGTGTGAATGTGTTGTGTGTATGCCTGTAAAGCCATGAAAACAATTCACAAGGCACACTCCAAACTGTGGTTAGAGAATTCTGTAGAACTGGAGAAGAAGGGAAATATATATTTTTTACATTAAAGAATATATTTCTCTGTATTTCTTTATACTTTATGATATATATTACTTTTGTAATGTAAAATAAAAGAAGTTAAAATATTTTTAAAAGAAAATGCCAATTTCCTTTGGTTACACTGCACAGTGGTAAGGCAAGGTTGTACCTGAGCACAGAGCTTGGCATGCAGTAGCTGCTGACTGAAAGATGGGTGGAAGGATACGTGAATGAACCAGTGGATAGATTAAGAGATGGAAACGTGGATGGGAAGATGAATGAATGGAGGGATGGATGGATGGGTGGGTAGATGGGGTGGATGGACGGATGGGTAGACAGGTGAATGAATGGGTAGATTGATGAGTGGATGGGTGGATGGATGAATACATGGATGAATGGACAAATGGATGGATGGATGAGTAGATGGGTGGATGGGTGGATAAGTAGAAGAATGGGTGGACGGACATATGAGTGAGTGGGTGGATGGACAAATGGATGGGTGGATAAATGGATGAATGGGTGGGCGGATGAATGGATGAATGAGTAGATGGATGAATGGACGGATGGATAGATGGGTGGATAGATGGATGGATTCATGGGTAGGTGGGTGGATAGATGGATGGATTCATGGGTAGGTGGGTGGATGAAAGAGTAGCTTGGTGGGTGGGTGGATGGATGGGTGGATGGATTAATGGATGGGTAGATGGACAAGTGTGTGGATGGATGGATGGATGGATGGATGGATGGATGGATGGATGGATGGGTAGATGGGAGAGTGTGTGGATGGATGGATGGATGGATGGATGGATGGATGGATGGATGGATGGACAGATAGATTAATGGATGGATGGGTGAGTTTGTGGATGGATGAACGGATAGATGGATGCATGGGTAGATGGGTGGCTGGATGGATAGATGAGTGGATGGGTGACTGGATGGATAAATGAATGGGTAGATGGGTGAATGAAAGGGTAAATTGGGTGGGTGGATGGATGAATGGATGGGTGGATGGATAGATGAATGGATAGGTAGATAGGTGAATGTGTGGCTGGATGGATGAATAAATGGATAGACAGATGCATGAGTAGATGGGTAGATAGATGAATGAATGGATGGATGGGTGAGCATGTAGTTTAGGGTCTGACACACAGTAAGCACCCAATCTGTTAGCAATCGTGAAAGTTTACTTCTTCTCAAAGTCTGGGGAGAGGGAAAAGTGTTGAGAAACTGACACTATAACATTCTGAAATAAGGAAAATGGCTCAGCTATCACAAAGCACTCAGTGTGAATGAACATCCCCTCATGTCCTAGGGTTCCTCAGAGACCCTTGAACATGAGGGGATCTGGGTCTGCCTCCAAGAGAAGCTGTGAAAAAAGGTAGGAGCCAGAGAGATATCAGAAGGCTGGGGAGAGAGTGGGGCCATCAGTATCTGCTTCTGCATGATCTCATTTAACCTTCCTATCAATCTTATGAGGCAGGTACTATGACGAGGTCCATTTCACAGGCGAGGAAGCAAACACAGAGAGGTGAAGCAATCTAGGCCATGTCACATAGCAAACAAAGAGCAGAGCCAGGCTGCCACTCAGATCTGGCTCATCCCAAAGTCACTGATTTTCCTCCCACAGACCCCATATGACCAGACGCCCCTGCCATTTACCTCTGGGTCTGTGTAGATTTCTGGGTCTCTCTGGGGGCTCAGGAAGGGGAAGAGGAGAAGGCGGTCACCACGTCGCAGGTTGAATTCTCGCCCATCTGCCATGGGCATGGCCAGGTCCACCACAACCTCGCGGGTGATGAAGGGGGCAGCTGTAAGCCTGAGGCTCTCACTCAGCACGCTGTCTGCATGGGGCAGGTGCAAGGAAGGGTCAGCAGGCTATCCCTTCACCTGCTCATATGCCACCCCCAACTCTTATTTTACAGAGGAAGATGAAGAGGCTCAGAGAGGGTGCCTGCCTCATCCACACAGTCACACAGCAAGGTGAAAAAGGACACATGATGACATGTGGTCTCTGTGGTCCCTCAGAGACCCTTGAACATGAGGGTATCCAGGTCTGATCCCAAGGTAAGTTGTGAGGGAAGGTGGGAGCTAGGGAGATACCAGAAGGCTGGGGAGAGAGTAGGGCCATCAATCTCTGTTCCTGCCTTCCCGGCATATATTTCTCTTCTGGAAACGGGCCCCTGGTTTTCCTCTAGGGTCCACCCCTCTCTCACTCTCAGGGGTTAGACTGCTGATTCTATGCTCAACTCCTGGGATGAGGCTGTGACTGGCCAATCACAGCATCCCTCTGAGCCCTGTGATTGGTTCAAGATGAACACATGACCCAAAGAAAGCCAATGAGACACAGTCTTGGGACTCTTGGTGGGAACATTGTAAGAGATGCAGAGTCTCACAAAGCCAGGAGGAAGTCAGCCTTGAGCTGCCAACAGCTACTGCCAGCCTGAGACTGGGGTCAACCCAGTGGGATGACAGGTGGAGAGGAACTGAGTAGTCCTGACAATATTGTTAAAGTGCCTGGATCCACCTGTGCCTGAAGCCAGTCCTTTGGACTTTTTAGTGACATGTCTCAAAGTACCTTTTCACCTCAGTCAATTGAAGTTAGGTTTTCTGTCACTTGACCCCTAGTTGAGACTGGAGTATGGAGATGCCAGGTGTGTGAAGATAGGAGGCTCAGGGAGACCCTAGGTTGGAGGACACTGATGGACTCTGGAAGACAGGAGCCCATGTTGGGGAGGACTTTGGGGGTCCATGATGACACAGTCTTAGGGGCTATCTTGGAGGGTGTGACCATCTCACCAAGCACAGGCGTGCCGTCTAGAACCTTCTGTGGGAGGGTGGTCATCTGCGAGACAGGCTGCTCTGCTTCCCAAAGGATACTCTCGAGCTCTCCGCGGACAGCAGCCAGGGCTTCAGGATTCTTGAGAAGGAAGAGCAGGAGCCAGAAAGCAGCGGGACCCATATTCCCCTGCAAGGAGAAGGGCCCCTGTTATGTCATTATGAGGGCAGAGCTGACTCGTCTCTGCCAGGGACACGGCCCGGGCCAAGACAGAGGGGCCAGTAGGCCCGGGCTCCCACTGCTGCCAAATGCCCGGGAATGACTAGTGTCTATCTCCAGCCTCAGGACATGGCCAAAACTACTCTGTGGCCCAAAATACCTACTTCAGGGCCACTCATGGCATCCCTGACTGTGTGCAAAGTCACTAATTCTAGGTCACACAGGTAATCTTCATAGCTAATCAGCAAAACAGTGTCAGTAATAGGAACAGCGTGTATCAGTTAAGACTGTTCACATCTGAGAATGATCACATTGTTGGCCCCAGTTCTTCACCAATCCCAGAATCCCCGCTCCTTACCATGTGACTTTGCCGTTCCTCCATTCAAGGGCCAGAGTGTATTTCCCTGTCCTTTGAATTTATGCTCAGCCGTGGACTTGCTTTGGCCAATAGAATGAGGTGCAATTGAAGGAACAGCCACTCTACGCCTAAGCCGCGAGAAACTTTGTGTTTCCACTTGCCTGACAAGCCCACTGATCCCAAGAGAAGGATGAGAGACTCATGGACAGAGCTGAGCTGCCCCACTGAGCCAGACCCACAGTCCCGTGAGTTAAATAAATGCTGATGGGTGTATGCCACCGAGTTGCTGTGGATGTTTGTTAGGCAACAATAGCTAACTGGTGCGATATCTAAAGATTTGCTTCCAAATATAATCATTCTCGACGTGGTCTGGGATGCAAAAAGTTCTCTGTATGCTTTGTATCTTAAAATTCTTTCAGTCACTTGAAGAATAAATGTGTGTGTGTTGTGTACATATAAAACAAAGTCGCAATCATCATTGATGACTGAAAGCTATGAATAAAAATTATTTAAACTTTCCAATAGATAAACACTTAGGAAAATGAGTGGAATTTCTTGCTTCAAGGCTTCAGTCTTAGCTGAACATTTTCATACACATTTTAGCTTCAGCTCTTTGGTATGTGGCTAAAATGTGTATATGGCACCCTTTAGTGATCCAGACATGGGTAGAATACCAACTAATTTCAATTTGGGGGAAGGTTTTTGTCTGCCATGACTATCCTATTCAATCATAATAATGGAATATTAAATCATCATTACATATCATGTTTACCCAGTAATTTCATTACAGACATAATTACACATGGGCAAAAGAACATATGCACAAAGATAATTATTGCAGTGCTAATGTAATAGAAAAAAGCTGGAAACAACCTCCATGTCTATCAATAGGAGATCAATGAGATAAATGAAGATCCATCCATTGGATGATGATGCAGGAAGTCATTAAAAAGAAGCCAGCTCTGTGTGTACTGATGTGGGACTGTAGCCAAGACACACAGAAGCATGTAAACAGCAAGGTGCAGGGTGGTGGCTCAGCATGCTGCCATTTTTGTGTTTGTTTAAAGAGAAATATACATGAAGAAGCACAGACCATCCCTTTTTTTGAGACAGGGTCTTGCTCTGTCACCCAGGCTGGAATGCAGTGGCACAATCATAGCTCACTGCAGCCTTGACCTCTTGGCTCAAGTGATCCTCCTGCCTTAGCCTCCCAAGGAGCTGGGGCCACAGGCACATGCTACCCAGCTAGGTTTTGTTGTTGTTGTTGTTGTTGTTGTTGTTGTTGTTGTTGTTGTTGTTTTGGTAGAGATGGAGGTCTCCCTGTGTTTCCCAGGCTGATCTCAAACTCCTGACCTCGAGCAGTCCTCCTGCCACAGCCTCCCAAAGAAGCATAGACCATTGCTAAGAGACACCAGAAACTGGTAACTGAGGTTACCTTGGGACAGAAGCTGGGAAGACAAGAGGATAGGGAGGAAGGAGGCTGACTTTCCTTGCAAATACCCTTTTAAACTGTTCAAAATTTTTTAATGGACACACTAATTTTAAGTGAAACAGAAGGCACCCAGACTGGAGTGCAGTGGCGTGATCATGGCTCACTGCAACCTCCACCTCCTGGGCTCAAGTGATCCTCCTACCTCAGCCTCCCAAGTAGCTGATACAAGCATGCACCACCATGCCCGGCTAATCTTTCTATTTTTTGTAAAGATGAGGTCTCACTATGTTTCTCAGGCTGTATTCAAATGATTTCTATAGTGATGTACAATGTCATGAGAAATGCTCATGTTACAGTATTAAACCAAATAGAAGGTTAGATTAAAACAGCTGCATGATCTTAACCACAGAAGAAAAATGTACGGGGAAAAGCTGGAAAGAAATGCACCATAGCATCAATGATGGTGAGATGAATTGTGCCTTCCTCTTTAGTGCCCATGAGGCCATGAGGCCAGGAGGCACCACACTCCTCTGCTCAATATTTACATCATGCAGGTGCCATTATTAGGCCTTTTACTGAAAAGGAAAACGAAGTACTCCCTGGTTGCTACCCACTGCCCAGCATATAGTGGAGGCTCACTGATATTTGTCAAATAAACATCTGTGTACCTTTGGATCAGAGGTGGAGCTCCAAGACAGCCTGGGAGGTGGACTGGAAGATCCCTGGACTGAGACCAGGCAGAGGTGGGTTCAAATCCCAGCTCCCCACTTTCTGTGACTGTGGACAAGTCATGTCCCCTTTTGGGTCTCAACACTGGGGGTAACACTGCCACCTCCTGGGTGGTCGCAAGGGTCCAATGAGGCTGAATGCAAGCAATCCCACACGTGTTGTGCCCAGAGTAGGTGCTCAGAAGTGGTTACCCCTCCCCAACTGGCCCCTCCCCTGGATTTGAGAACAAGTCAGTGGGGGCCTCAGGCCCTTTCTGAGAGTTCTGCCAGCACCTCAGGTCCAGCTGACACAGCGAGGTCACTTGCTGTCCATCACTTAAATAGCCAGGCGAATGTGGGTGATAAATAATTCAGCACTGGCTTAGCTCAGCGCCAAGGCCATTTTATCTGGCCCAGATGGTCAGATGGGGGCCACCGCTCATTAATTACCAAGCAGGAGTGGAACACATGGGCCCTTGGCTATCTCTGCTTGCAGGAAAAAGCTGTGGCAAGTTAGGGAGGTGACCAAGACTGCCTTCTACCCAACTGCACAGATGTGAGTGTGAGAGTGTGTGTGTGTGTGTGTGTGTGTGTGTGCACGCAACCATAAGAGATCCTGAATTTGCCACCCTGGAATTTGAGCTTTCACCCATGGAGACTTGCCTCCGTTTACTCAGGAAGACACTTCTCATTTGTCCTCATTCCCTCCTACTGCAGCCAAAGGCCATGACCCAGCAGTGCCACCCCCTGTTCTAGCTTTCCTGTGAATGGCGGCGGCAGACCTCTGGGGGGCACTGACTGCGGGCCAGACCACACCTTTGGCGATTCACATGCTCCTTCTTGTCGCCTCCTGACCACATGGCCCATCAGTGGGAGTAGGGGACTCCCACTGCCCGTGCCTGCCTGCATCCACTTCCTTGTCTGTGGGTAACAGCACGCCACTTTCCTTCGTAAAACCACCTCCTCTTAAATCTAAGTCTGTGTAGGTCATCCAGGACTGACTCATCCTTCCAGACTTCAAGTGTGGGCATGGGACCCAGGCAGAGGTCCCATGAGTGATCCACGCAGAGGGGAGCATGTGACGTGGGCTGGGCCAGTGAGTATCAGGCTTGGGAGCTGTGCTAGAATTTAAGGGAAGGGAACCCTCCTCCATGGGATTGCTAAATTGCATGGAGCTGCTGGAGGCCATTGTAGCCACCCCCCAGGAGACCCTCTGAGGATGCAGCTTGGCAGAAGGGAGACCTGAGGGATGGGAGTCACTCTTTTATTCTTTTAATTTTTGTGATTATAAAAGATTCCAACGGAATAAAAGAATACCCCAAGTGTGATAATGATGTGTTAGTGTAGGTCATAAATTGTAACAAATGTGCCACTCTGCTGAGGGACACTGGTGATGGAGAGGCGAGACACTGGGAGAAGGCGGCTAAGGGGGGTCCCTGCACCTTTCCTTCAATTTTGCTGTGAACCTAAACCTGCTTTAAAAATAGAGTCTATTTAAAACAAACAAACAAAAGCCCTACGTGCAATGTGGGATTGTGGATTGGCTCCTGGAAGAGAAAAAGGATATTAGTAGAAAAACTGGGGCAACGTGAATGAAGTATGGAGTTTAGTTACTAGCAATGTCCCAGTGCTAATTTCTTAGCACTTGATGAAGGTATTGTAGTTATGTAACATTAGGGAAAGCTGGGTGAAGGGTATTTGGGAACTCCCTGTACTATCTTTGCAACTCTTTTATAATCTAAAATTATTTCAAGATAAAACTACTGAAGACAAACAAAAACAAAAACAAAAACAAACCCAACCCTCTTTACAGATGGTGAAACTGAAGCCCAGAAAAGTGACTTGTTTGAGGTCACACAACTAGTTTAGTGGCAGAGCTGATACTCCACCCAAGTCTGTCTGACTCTCAATACTGTGGTTTTGCTTTTCACCCCGTTGTCAAATGCTTCAGGGATTCTTCTCGATGATCACTATCTCAGCGGAGCTATCTGCAGGCCCAGCAGCTCCCGTGGCCCCCTCCCCTACCTCTCAGGACCACCTAGGAGTTTCCAGGGATGTGTGGCTGTGGCTGCTGAGGATGTGATGGGGTGAAGGCCAAGCCAGATATGAGGAAGGAAGAGAAGGATCAGATGTGATGGATGGGGCTGAGGGACATCATGACAATCAATGGTTTCAGTCCTGGCATTGCCAGCATCAGTGGGCTCAGAGCTGGGAGGGAAACCTGTCCTGTGTTTGCAAACTCTCCTCCATCTGCCCCCCACCACCCCACCCCACTTTCCCTTACAGCCTCCTCTTCCCCCTGGCTGGACCTTAGGTCTCGGCCCACAGGGTCCTCCCTGGATGCCCGAGCCTCCCACTGCCCCGTCCATCACTCTCAATTCCAGGTTCAGGGCTTCTGGATTCATGAAGCTGTTGTGAGGATCCTATAAGATGATGTTTGCAAAGTGCTCAACAGGATGCTTGGCCCAGGGTAAGTGCTCAGTATCTTTTGCGATTATTATTCCTGACTCATCATCTCCGACCTGACAGCAGCAATCACAGCTACCATTTTTCAGCCTCTCCGCAGCATCTGACCCAGCTTCCCATTACTGGCTCTCCCCCCACCTTCCTGGCCCCTCCTCCTTACCTTTCCCACCACTGGAGAGCCCCAGGGACGCCCCCTTCTTCACCCATCCTTGCCCGCAGGATCTCTTCCAGTCCTGAGGCTTTAAACTCCTCTGTGCTGACAACTCCCAAGCCTGGACCTCAAACTTGAACTCCAGACTGTCTTCTCCAGGTGTCCACTCTCCCACCTCCATCTCAAATTCAACATACCCAAAGCCAAATCCCCAATCCTCTCCCTGAGACTTCCTCCTCCCGCCATCTTCCTCATCTGCCCATGGCTCTGCCACCCCTCCTGTCACTCAGGCCCAAGCCTGGAGTCATCCTTGATGGCCTCTCCCAAGGTCCCATCCAACAGTGGATCCTGTTGGCTCTACTGTGGAATATGTTCAGACTCTAACCACCCCTGACCCTGGCTCAGCAGCACCCTCTCTTGCCTGGATCCTGCAATGGCCTCCCCCCTGCTCTTCCTGCCTCTGCTTCCCCATCCCCTACAGTCTCTTGTCAGCGCTGCAGCCAGAATGATCCCTCTAATGCGTTAAGATAGGCCAGGATTTTCCTCTGCTCAGAGCCCTCAGCAGGCACCTGTCTCACTCAAAGTAAAAGCCAAAGCTCTCCCCGTGGCCTACAGGGACCTGTGTGGTCCTGCAGCTCTGCCTCCCCACCATGTCACCCTCAGTCCTGCCTCAGGGCCTTTGTACTTGCCGCTCCCTGCCTGGGAGCCTTCCTCTATATATTTACATGGTTCACCCCTCACTTCCTTCAGTCTCTGCTCAGATGTCACCTTTCAGTTAGGCCTTCCTGTGCCTGCCTTCCTGCTGCATCTCTTCTCCATAGAACACATTCCCTCTAAAACTTTTTTTTTAAATTTGAGACAGAGTTTTTTTTTTTTTGGAGACGGAGTCTCTCTCGTCGCCCAGGCTGGAGTGCAGTGGCGCGATCTCGGCTCACTGCAACCCCTACCTCCTGGGTTCAAGTGATTCTCATGCCTCAGTCTCCTAAGTAGCTGGGATTACGGGCCTGTGCCACCATGCCTGACTAATTTTTGTATTTTTAGTAGAGTCAGGGTTTCACCATATTGGCCAGGCTGGTCTCAAACTCCTGATCTCAAGTGATGTGCCTGCCTCGGCCTCTCAAAGTGTTGAGATTACAGGAGTGAGCCACTGCGCCTGGCCTCTAATACATTTTAGATGCTTACTTGTTTGATTGTTTATTTATTTATTTATTTTTTAGACAGGATCTTACTATGTCACCCACGATGGAGTGCAGTGGCACAATCATGGCTCATTTCAGCCTTGACCTCCTAGGTTCAAGCAATGCTCCTGCCTCAGCCTCCCAAGTAGCTGGGACTACAACTGTGCACCACCCCGCCCAGCTTTTCTACAAAAAAAATAATATTTTTTTTGGTAAAGATGGGGTCTTGCTATGTTGCCCAGACTGGTCTTGAACTCTGGGCCTCAAACGATGTTCCTGTCTAACCTCCCAAAGCACTGTGATTATAGCTTATGTGTTTATTAATTGTCTATCTTCTCCCACCAGAATGCCAGCTCCCTAAAGGTACGGATTTTTGTCTGTTTTGCTCTCTGCTCTATCCCCAGCTTCTGGAATGGGGCCTGGTCCACGGCAGGCACTCTAAATATTTGCTGAAGATGTTTATTGAGCACTTGTTATCTGCAAGTCACAGTTACAAAGTTGCACATGTATTCCTGCCTCCTTTCATCTTCATAACCACATCTTAAAGCGAGTGCTACCATCTCCATTTTACAGATGCGTCAACTGAGGTGCTCAGAGGTTAAGTGACTGACTTGCCAGGAAGTGTCAAAGTCAGGATTCAAATCCAGGCAGGGAGGTCACAGAGCCTGTGCCAGAAACTTCTAGACCAAGTACCTTCTTGGCTCTGCCCCCAAAAGGCTCTTGAAAAGTTTTCCCACCTGCTTGAATTCTGGACGCTGTCAACGACTCAACCTCAGAGGACATCTTGTCCCCAGCTCCTGCCCAGCTCTCCTGGCCCTGCCAAAGGCTGTTCCCTGGACTTTCTGCCACTCAAGCCCCTCGGCCAGCATCCAGTTTTGCTGACACAGGTCATTTCCACAAGGGTTCTGGGGACACTGTGGAGCGCCAAGTCATCTCTGCACATAAATATGTTATTAGGCACTGATGTGGGGGACAACTGCCAATTAATCCCAGCCCCCACCCCTTGCCAGTCTCTGCCTGCAAGGACAGTTAATGGCTCTGAGAGGAAACTAAAAATAAGCCGCAAGTCGATGGGAGAGGAATTACCCAGAAATGTCAGCCTGTACAACTGTCACTGTCGAAGTGGGGCCAAGAGAAAATGGGGGGCTTGGGGAACAGGAAAGAGGACAGGATCCAGGCCTGGAGCCCTGCAGCATCAAAGGCCGCCCTGTTTCTCTCACTCCAATAGCTGGCCCATGACCAAATCCACTGGCTCTGTCTTCCTGAAATTTCCAAAATCTATCCATGTCCTCATCACCTCCATGGCCACCACCTGACCCTGCCACCACCGTTTCCTCCTTGGTGCCCTGTTTTTGCTTTTGCCCCCAAGATCCTGTCCCTCCTCTGCTCAGAACTCTCCTAGGTCCCCATCTCACCCAAAAAAAAAAAAAAAAAAAATCCCAAGTCCTCACTTATGAGGACCCACAAGGCCCTCAGTGACCTCTTCCCTCAGTCTCTTGCCCCCTTCCTCACTCTGCTTCAGCTGTGTGATCCAACTCTACTCTGCATGATCCAACCCCAGGGCCTTTGCACTTGCTATTTCCATTATTGGAAGCTTCTATCCCCACATCTTCTCCAAGTTTCTGAATCTAGCTTTCTTATCATCCAGGGCTCAGCTCGAATATCTCAGGGAGGCCTCCCTGACCACCCCGGCTAGAGCAGACCCGAAAGTCTTTCTATTCACAGCCCTGTTTCATACTCTAAATATCATCATCTAAAATCACCTTGTATATGTTTCCTTGACTCTCTGCTCCCTGTCCCCCTGACCCCCCAAGTGGTAATCAACACAACACAGAATCTTTGAGGTCTATGGTAAGTACTCAGTGGATTTTTTTTAAAGAGGTGGGATCTCACTATGTTGCCCAGGCTCGTCTCGAACTCCTGGGTCCAAGCGATCCTCTTGCCTCACCCTTCCGAGTAGCTGGGATTACAGGTGCACACTACCATGCCCAGCTTCTTAATGGAACTTCTAAAAAATTCTTCAAAATAACTGGTCTGCACACTTCAAAAAATGTAAAGGTCATGAGAAACAATGAAATGCACAGAAAATGTGACAGATTAAAGAAAACAGGTCAGGTGCAGTGGCTCACACCTGTAATCCCAGCACTTTGGGAGGCTGAGGCGGGCGGATCACGAGGTCAAGAGATCGAGACCATCCTGACAACACGGTGAAACCCCATCTCTACTAAAAATACAAAAAAATTAGCTGAACGTGGTGCATGGTGGCATGAGCCTGTAGTCCCAGCTATTCAGGAGGCTGAGGCAGGAGAATCGCGTGAACTCAGGAGGCGGAGGTTGCAGTGAGATGAGATCGTGCCACTGCACTCCAGCCTGGCAACAGAGTGAGACCCCATCTCCAGAAAAAAAAAAAAAGAAAACTGAAGAGTCAGAATGACTAAATGCAACATGTGATTCTGGATTGGATGCTGGACCAAGATGAACCAAAAAGGACATTATTGAGACAACTGGCCAAACTGGAATACAGACTGTTTATTAGATAATGATCATGTATCTGGGCTCATTATCCTGAAATTGGTTATTGTGCTGTGGTCATGCAGGGGATGTTCTTGCTTACACTCAAGCAATTAGGGATAAAAAACCATGATATCTGCAACTTATTCACAAATTATTTCAATAAAACAATCCCACTGGGGAAAAGAGAGCATAAGAGAGACAGAGACAGAGAGAAAGCAAAGGTGGTAAAATGTTTAAAATTGGGGAATCAAGGTGAAGCATATATAAGAGTTCATTAAACTATTAAACCTTTTAATAAATTTAACATTTTTCCAAATTAAAACAAAACAAAACAAAACAAAAAGAGGCTGGGCGTGGTGGCACACACCTGTAATCCCAGCACTTCCAGAGGCTGAGGCAGGCAGATCACTTGAGGTCAAGAGTTTGAGACTAGCCTGGCCAACATAGTGAAACCCCATTTCTTCTAAAAATACAAAAATTAGCCAGGCGTGGTGGCAGGCAACTGTAGTCCCAGCTACTCGGGAGGCTGAGGCATGAGAATCACTTGAACCCGGGAGATGGAGGTTGCAGTGAGCTGAGATCGAGCCACTGCACTCCAACCTGGACAACCAAGCAAGACTCTGTCTCAAAAGAAAAAAAAGAAAAGAATACTGAGTGAATTATTCTGTTCATCATGCTGTTTGACAGTAAAGGAAGTCAGGGAACGGGGGTGGGCAGTGGGTATGTGTGCACACACCCACACTCACATCAGCACACACTCACAAATGCACACCTACCTACACATGCACACACAGGTATAGTCATGTGCACCTGAATACGTGCACAGACATGCACACCCCCATGCACACATACACATTTATATCACAACCACACATGCACACCTGCACACACCCACTTGCACACTCACACCCACCTGTGTGGCCCACAGCTGCAGCACCAGGGCCCGTGCCTGCATCTCCTCTGACACACCCATCTCCTCCAAGTGCAGCAGGTAACTCTCCAGCCATTTGCTCCTGTGGGCCCGTGTGGCCAGCCTGGCTGGGGACAGCAGCTTCCACAGGCGACTTTTGACACTGCACATGTGGTCCTTGTCCCCTGCAGGGACAGAGCACAGAGAGTAGGGGTTAGAGATTCACCACTACACCCAGGGCTGACCGAGCATGACCTCCCATGAGGCCAAGGGTCTTCTGAATGTCACTCAGAAGACCCTTGAGGGTGGGGAGTTCCTGTGGGAAAGAAGCTGTAGGGACAGGCCCACAGCGGGAAGCTCTTTTGATACTGACTTGCTTATTATCTGTCTTACGCCCAGTAAAAAGAAGCAAGGGGTCTTGTCTCCTGCAGGTGGGATCCCAGTCTATTTCAATCACCTGTATGTCCCCAGCACCCAGCCCGTAGTAGGTGTTCAATAAATATGCATTGTATTAGTCTGTTTTCATGCTGCTGACAAAGACATACTCAAGACTGGGTAATTTTTTTTATAAAAAAAAAAAAAAAAAAAAAAGAGGTTTAATGGACTCACAATTCCATGTGGCTGGGGAGGCCTCATAACCATGGTGGAAGGTGAAAGGAACATCTTACATGGCGGCAAGCAAGAGAAAACGAAAGCCAAGCAAAAGGAGAAACCACTTATAAAATCATCAGATCTCGTGAGACTTATTCACTACAAGGAGAACAGTATGGGGGAAACCACCCCCCACAATTCAATTATCTCCCACCAGGTCCCTCCCACAACACGTGGGAATTATGAGAGCTACAGTTCAAGATGAGATTCTGGGTGGGGACACAGCCAAACCATATTATGCATTAAATAAATGGCATTTCTTTCCAGAGCAGGAGAAGGAACACTGAACACCGAACAGCATTCTCCCTCCCCAGGTCCAATCCCAGAGCAGTGCCAGCCCATGTGCATGAGGAGGAGGCCACTGTGAGCAGGCTCAGCACAGCAGCGATCACAAAAAGACATCAGCAACAACCTAACTGACCATCCAGAGAGGGCAGATTGGGCTGGAGTCTCAAACTCAACTCACTCCAGAGAAGGCAGGCCAAGTAAAAGAGAGAGGAGGCCAGAAAGGGGCCATGGCACTTAGCCCACCGACCAGCCCTCGGCAGGAGAGAGAAACACCCCAGCATGGCCAGAGGGCCTGTGCTTTCAAAGGAAGCTGAAAATTCAGACAATTATGTATAACCGTCTGATATTTTTTAAGGTTAGCATCCAAGTAAAAAGTTTTTAATCACTGTGCTGACCACAGAAGCATCTCTGAAGGTCAACTTTGGCCCACAGATCACTAGCGTGCAGTCACCATTAAACAGACAATGGTGTGTTTATGTTCTGGAAAAACCATACAGCAGTGAAAGTGAATTAGTACATTTTACATACAGACACAGAGAGTTCCGAAGGGCAGACTGGTAAGAGGATAAAGCTGGGCACTGAAGAATGATACTATTTAGATATTGTTTTCTTTTCTCCTTCTTTTTAAAAAAAAATATTTTCATGAACCATACATGAGACTTAATATATATTGTTTTAAAACTCCAAGGTAATGCTATTTATATGCACAGATATAAAGTTTAAAACAAAAATATAAAATATAAGATTTGGTATTCTCTGAAATCACCCCTTGGAAAACAGAGTCACCTTGGATTGCTCTGAAGTTTCAAAGTATTGGAAACTCCCTCACTGACTCTTCTGAACCACAAGCCGTGTTTCAGGAAGACTCGCCCCAGCACTGATTCTAAACCTGGCTGCACATCACAGGGCGTTTGAAAGGGTCAGAAATGTAGCCTATTTTTTTTTTTTTTTTTTTTTAAGTATTTTGGCTTCATTTTCAAATAATATGCTGAATATGTTTAACTTTTAGACTTCAACTTGAGCTCATTGTTTTACATTGAAATGAATGTCACCATTTCAGGTGACATTTCAATGTAAAGCAATGAGCTTACATGTTCAACTGAAATACATTATCTTCCTATGTGTCTCAACTTTTCAGGCTCTCTGAAGAATTACCTGGGAGCTCTTCAATCTCTGGATGCCCAGGTGCCAACCCCAGATTGATCATGTCAAAATCACATGGGTGGGAACTGGGCGTCCAGGGGTTTAGGTCTGCAGGGCACGGGCGTGTTAAAACCACCTCAGTTGATGCAAACTCTGGATACTTCTAAGCATCATCTGATGGGATGGCTAAAAAAAGAGGCAAAGAAATTTAACACAGCTTTAGAAATAACTGGCATTCTTTGAAGTCTGACCACACGACTGCAATCTTGAATATCACTGTAAACACGGCGTTTACAGATGACTTTAAAAAGTAAGGCAGGACCATTCTCTACTTTTCCCCTGTGCCTAGAGCAGTTCTGAGTACATAGGAGGCACTCAATATTTGCACAATAAATGAATAATTAAGCAAAAAAGCTAATGCAGTATGAAAAGACAGCTGACAGAATGTGAGAAAATATTTGCAAATAATATACCTGATAAGGGTCTAGCACCCAAAATATATAAAAGAACTCCTCAACAACAATAAAAAACAAACAACCTGTTTCAAAAATTGGCAAAGGACTTGAATAGATATTTCTCCAAAGAAGAGCTACAAATGGCTGATAAACACATGAAAAGATGCTCAACACCATTAATCATTAGAAAAATGCATATCAAAACCGCTGTGTGATACCATTCACAACCATGAGAATGACTACTATTTAAAACACAGAAAATAAGGGATGGTGAGGATGTGGAGAAATTGAAACCCTTATGCATTGCTGGTGGGAATGTAAAATACTGCAGTTGCTATGAAAAAGAGTTTAGCAGTTCCTCAGAAAGTTAAAGAATTACCATATGATCCAGTAATTCTAGTTCCAGGTATATACCCCAAAGAACTGAAACCAGAGACTCAAACAGATACTCGTGCACCAATGTTCGTAGCAGCATTATTCACAGTAGCCAAAAGGCGGAAACAACCCAGGTGTTGGTTGATAGGTGACTGGATAAATAGAATGCAGTATATACACACAATGTATTCAGTCTTTAAAAGGCATGAAATTCTGACACATATGCCAGGCGTGTTGGCTCATGCCTGCAATCCTAGCACCTTGGGAGGCCAAGGCGGGCAGATTTCCTGAGCTCAAGAGTTAGAGACCAGCCTGGGCAACATGGTGAAACTCTGGCTCTACTAAAATACAAAAAAATACAAAAATACAAAAATTAGCCAGGCATGGTGGCGCGCACCTGTAGTCCCGGCTACTCAGGAGGCTGGGGCAGGAGAATCACTTGAACCCGGGAGGCAGAGGCTGCTGTGAGCCAAGATCGTACCACTGCACTCCAGCCTGGGTAACACAGCAAGACTCTGTCTCCAAAAAACAAAAACAAAAACAAAAACAAACAAACAAACAAACAAAAAAAACAAAAGAAATAGATATTCTGACACATACTACAACATGGATGAACCTTTAAAATATTATGCTAAGCGAAATAAGCCAGACACAAAAGGACAAATATTGTATAATGTCACTTACATGAGATTCCTAGAACAGGAAATTCAGAGACAGAAAGTAGAATAGAAGATATATCGGGCTGGGAGGAAAGGCAGGTGGATAATTTTGTTTAATGGGCACAAAGCTTTGGTTTAGAATAATGAAAAGTTTCTGGAAATAGATAATGGCATGGTTATACCACATTGTGAATGTATTTACTGCCACTGAATTGTACAATTAAAATGGTTAAAATAGTATATTTTATGTTATATATTATTTTAGCACAGTTTTTTTTTTAAAGGTATATGAAGGTCATTTGGCAAAAATGAGTCAAAGATAGTGTTGTATAACAAAGAATTTGGATTCCAGCCGGGCGCAGTGGCTCACGCCTGTAATCCCAATACTTTGGGAGGCCAAGGTGGGCAGATCACCTGAGGTCAGGAGTTTGAAGCCAGCCTGGCCAACATGGTGAAACCCCATCTCTACTAAAAATACAAAAAAAGTTAGCTGGGCGTGGTGGCGGGCAACTGTAATCCCAGTTACTCGGGAGGCTGAGGCAGGAGAATCGCTTGAACCTGGGAGGTGGAGGTTGCAATGAGCTGAGACAGAGCCACTGCACACCAGCCTGGGTGACAAAGCGATACTCAAAATACAAAAGAATTTGAATTCCAAGGTTTCAGTTACCCATGGTCAACGATGGTCCAAAAATACTAAATGAAAAATTCTGGACATAAACAGTCATAGGTTTTAAATTACATGCTGTTCTGAGTAGTGTGTTGAAATCTTGTGCCATCCTGCTCTGTCCTGCCTGGCAAAAAACACAGGATAAAAATATAGCAGTGAGCTGGGTGCAGTGGCTCACTCCTATAATCCCAGCACTTTGGGAGGCCAAGACGGGCAGATCACCTGAGGTCAGGAGTTCAAGACCAGCCTGGCCAACATAGTGAAACCCCATCTCTAACAAAAATACAAAAATACAAAAATTAGCCAGGCATGGTGGCGCGCACCTGTAGTCCCGGCTACTCAGGAGGCTGGGGCAGGAGAATCACTTGAACCCAGGAAGGGGAGGCTGCAGTGAGCAGAGACTGCACCACTGCACTCCAGCCTGGACAACAGAGCAAGATTCTGTCTCAAAAACAAAATTATATATATATATAGCAGTGATTGGATCACGAATCAAATCAGTTTACACTTATATATCCCTTAGAGCAGTGCAGAGGACACACTAAACCTTACCCGAGAGTTATCTATTGCTATGATATATTGTTAGCACAAAGCAAAGTGCTAGCAACCACATGTTTATTATGCATTTGTGGAAAAAAAGAAAAATAAGAATATAGTCACATTCACTTGCACTTGTCTGAAGGAACTCTAGAAGGATCCATTCGAAACTAATAAAACGAATCGATTATGAGCAGTGGCAATTGGTGGAAGGGGATGTGACAAGAAAAGGAAGGAGACTTACCACTGTTACTAATTTTTTTCCAGCCTTACTGAGGTATAATTGACAAATGAAAATTCTTATTTAAGTTGTACAACGTGATGTTTTGATACACATATACGGTGTGAAATGATTGCCACAATCAAGCTAATTAGCATATCCATCACCTCACGTGTGCATGCACGGTGAG